ATGGAGGATTTTAGGTTGACAAACCAATATTTTCTTCCAGACATGTGTGATGAGTATCCTGAATCCAAGTACCATTGATCCTTGAATCTTTCTTCATCTTTTGTTGTAACCATTAGCATCATCTCTTCTTCTTCATGCTTTGCGAATTTTACATCACTTTCTTGATTCTTTCTCTTTTCTGGACAATCACTAAAATAGTGATCATACTTCTGACAATTGTAACACTGAATGTGACTCTTGTCAGGCTTTCGACCACCACCTCTTCCTCTACCTCCAGCACCACCTCTTCCTCTACCTCCAGCATCACCTCTTTGGTTGCCTTGGTAATCTGGTCTTTTTTGATTTGACACAATTCCATCCTGCTAGTTTCCTCTGCCAGTCGAATTGTTGTAGCCACCCCTAAAGTTATAAAACTCTAGACTAAATCAACACACGTACATACTCGGTGTTTCGACACACCTTGTGTCGAGTAATCATCCTGCGTCGACACAAAGAATTACATATTTAATAGAATCCATAACCATTTAGCATAACTGTTTGTTTCCATAAAATTTTCTCAAACCCTCGCATTAAAAGTCGATTTTGATTTCAGGCTTTACCCAAATACTTGGAGAACTGTAGGTACCTCCCTAAGCTTAATAACGAAAAACCTGGTCAGAGGAATTCCACTTACAAGGAAAGATTTAGTAGCTTAAAGAATTTGGTACTTATCATGGTAGGTCCTGTATATGTTAAGAATATTTCAAGCTGATTTCAAGAGAAAAAAAACTTGTTTATTTGTTTTCTTATGTTATACTGCAACAGTTTGAGCAAGATACAGTTTTAATACCGAGAGAAACATCCTGGTTTGGTTATTATCCAGATGGCTCCTTCAAGCCAACTTTACCAGCACAAAAGGTATTGTTTTCTATTCGACTTGTCTTGATATTTTCTAGGATACATGGGGCCATAATCAACTTTTGTATCCCTTGATTGGCTTTGCAGACAAAACTCTACACTGAAGATTGGATTGGCTTAAGAACTTTAGACAAGGCTGGCCGCGTCCATTTCATTAGTGTTCCGGGAAAACATCTGGGAATATCAGACACAGACATGAAGAAACATGTAGTGCCATATTTGATCGACCAAACATCAAGAGAAGATGGAACTACTGAGGCTGGCTTTCGAAGGATGGGTGGAGTTAACCGAAGATTTATTCAAATCAACAAGATGGTGTAATATCATACAGTGGAGGAAGAATCATCAATCTCTAGCCACGACATTACTACTATAGATTGATCATTGTCATCTAGGTAATGTATGCCACTCGAGGTATTTAATGAATATGAAAAGAAAATATCTAGATAGTATATACATCAAATTACTTGATACATGTAAGATTGTGATGAATGTTGATATCAGTTCAAGCATCAGCTTATTGAAATTGGGGAGAGAAAAAAAATATTACAATCCTAGAGTGTTTTTAATATGTTGCAAAGGTGATTATTACATTACTGATTTTTGGAAAAATTACATTAGTATTGTAAAAGGCATTTACACTTAAAAAAAGTATGATAAACTTTTGTTGTCTAAGAGAAATAATCCCCTCACTTCATTTTCTATATTTTCTATATGAACCCTTTACCTTAATCCTATTAATGATCTACATTGTTGGTTTATGTCTAACTCCATATAAATTTAGTTCTAGACTCGGTAAAAAAATACAAATTAATCTCCTATTACGTATTTTGTTAGTCAAAGTGAAACATGTTGATTGTATTATTTATTGATTTGATGATCATTTAAATATATACAACAATATTCTTCTAGTAATTCTAGACAATTATGAGCAATTATTATTAAGAAATATAATAATTGTTATATGAAAATAAAAAGAAAAGAATGAAAGTTTATACAAAACTGTCTTCATTAATGGTATGATAAAGAAAATTTTTAAAATTGAAAGAAGAGACAAAAAGAATAATAAATACTTCGAGTCTCAAAATATTTGTCATACGTTTTCATATAAATTAAAAAAATGTGATAAATGAAAGAGAGAAAATAACAATTTTATCAAACTATCCTAATTAGTTATTAGTGTATTCAAATTATTATTAATGTAAAATGAGAGAAATAATAAATTAAAAATATTAATTAGAGAATATAATTGGAAGATAAAAACTAAAATTATATTAGAAATTAAAAACTATATTTATTTTAGGATAATTTTTTTTTTTATAAATACGACACTTATTTTAAGATGAAGAGGATAATATTTAAGAGCATAATAGAAAAAGTAATATTAACAACTTATAATTTAATCCAATTTTTCTCGAAGCAATTTATAGTAAAAACTGAGGGAGGTGATTTCTAATAATGTGCATGCTAAATGTAGTCGAAATTAGAGGTTGAGGTATGTACTGGCTATCTTTATAAAACGTCAACAAGTTTATACCATGAAGAAGCTTATAAGATTTGCATTAGACTGTAAACAAATTTTTTACGCATAAAATGTATATACATCTCAATGTTTTTGTTGCATTGATGTTTAGCTAGATTGCCGGAAAGGTACATTATGTATGGTATCATAATAAATCAATGTATGTTTTTGATGTGTTGATTGAGCTAGATTATCAGATAAGTCAAAGTGTTTACACTGTCTCTAAGATATACACAATAATATGAAGTAGATCTTCTTATTTATAGATATCTATTCTACCCACTCCGCGTTAGATTGTGAGATAAGTCATTTGCTTAACTTGAAGACCAAAAAAAATATGAGTTCTTACTCGACTCATTTCAAATACAAACTTCATTTGTTGGATACAATGCTCCACCATCGAGTCTGACGTCCCACCAAATACAATATCATCACCATATATTTGTGCTACCAAGAGTTTTCCTCCATCCATTTTTACAAATAGAGTCTTGTGTTTTCCTCTTCAATGTAGCCATTATTTATTAGAAACTCTGTCAATATTTCATACCAAACTCTTGGGGATTGCTTTAAACTCTAAAGAGTTTTATTTAACTTGTATATATGGTCTGGGAAATTGGGATCAATGATCCTCTTTGGTTGCTCTACAAATACTTCTTCATTTAGGTAACCATTTAGAAAAACACTTTTCACATCCATTTGATAAAATATGAATTTCATCATGCATAAAATCCCTAGCAATACTCTAATGGACTCAAGTCTAGGAACTTGAGCAAATGTCTCATCAAAATCCACTCCTTCTATTTGAGTGTTCCCTTGAACAACTAACCTTGTCTTATTTCTTGTCACATTATCACTTTCACCGGATTTATTCTTGAAGATCCACTTGGTACCAATGACATTCATATCTTCAAGTCTTGGAACTAACTCCCAAACTTCATTTCTTATGAATCGACACAGTTCCTGTTGGTCCTTAGTGATGTAGTAGTATTTGAATTCCTTGACATATTTGGGTTCAAGGTCAAACGTGGCCATTGTCTTATTGCTTCCCGAGAAATTAGAAGCGAAAAAGAAATCACTATGTCATCCACCGCTGCTATCACAATCAAAATTAATGGAACTCTCGTAACTGCCAAACCTGCCTAGTTCTACTAATTTGCAGTCAATTGTCCCTTTGAGATACTTGTTACACCCCAAAATTTGCCCTCCCGATTTATGCTTTATAGTTGGATTATGTTTTTTTCATTTCACCTACATACATTCTACTAGATCATTTGCATATCATGCATTCCTTAATACATGGGTTCAAAGAATCAACATTTTGTGCAAGATTAGGGTTTCATATGGGTTTGAGGCTTCTACAACCAATAAGATTGATTTCTCTGGTTCTTCCCTGAATAGTGAACTGTGGGATTAGGTTTTGAACTATGGTTATCATGTATTTCTTCTTCATCAAGCTACAAAGGCTTTTTCTCGTCCAATCTCAGTAATGTCAATCATTAGGGTTTATTTCCCTACCCAAGATCGAATATTAGTTTTTCCAACTATTGTGCTTTAACTAAGGTTCTTCTTGAGGAATCATCAAGCAAGGGGATTAAGAATCAGAGTTTCCTTAGGCTTTGGGGCTTTTACTTCACTCAAGTGTGATTCATTTGGTTTCTACATCATTCATGCCGTGGATTTAGGGTTTGGATTCATGATTATTATGAACATTTTCTTTGACAAGCTACAAGGCTATATTTCATAAAAGAAGCAAGATGTTAGGGTGTCATTTTTGTGCATGCTTTAGGGTTTCATTACTGCTTTCAAATGAGATAGCTTTGAGCTATTGTTTCACTTCCTTTCATATTAAGCTACTTCTTCACTATGCAATGCAAGAGGGTTAATATTCAAGAGTGTCTCATCCATGGAGGTTAAGGGAATAAATACTTGATACAAAGCCATCTCATCTGAGAACATTCTTTACTTGTGACACGAGTATTATTTGGGACTTCATTTTAATTTATTTGAGATTAAGGCTTAAAGTATCTTGTGAAACATTGTGGTTTTGTGGATCCAACTTGACGAGGATACAAAGATTATTACATGAAGACACTTTAAAAACACGACGAGTCAATTTAGTATCAATTGGGCCATTCGAATGGAAAAAAACAGAGAAGGAAAGAACTTAGAACTTCAAAAGCAATATCGAAAAACACATTGAATATTTGAAAAATTGTGTCATTTTGAATTTTCAAAAGTCACAAGCAGGAGGTTACATGTTCATTCAATTTTCGAAGATGTGAACTTCAAAATTCTAATTTGAATAAGAAAGTTGCTTTAAACATTTGGATTATACCATTGAGTTTACAACTATCCATATTCATTCAACATCATTCATGATTCTTTACAAATATTACAACAAAGCATACTTTGAAACCTAAAATTGCTAAGACTCATTTCACCCCATGCCTTCATGTTATCACCATTTCTATTCAAGACTTTTCATGCTAAAACCTATTGTTTACACTAAGCCATGTATAATTTAATCTTCATAATCCTTATGTCAAGCTCCCATGAGTATCACCAAGTCTTCCATTACTTGTCATATCCATGCTCCAAAATCGAGCTCCCTTTTCAAATATGCATCCAGCCATAAACTTGCCACAAAGCCAGTACAAATTCCAGCCTTGTAAACACAAACAACCTTACTATCCAAACCAATCCAAAAAACCTGCGACTTTGCTCTACAAAACCTTGCTATGCTATTGTCCACTATCCAAAAACTTGCCTGAAATATACCAAGCAAAACCCTGCTGTATAAAAAGCAATAAAACAATAAAACAAGAGAGGAAGAGAATGTCAAAAAGACAAGAAAAAGAGTGGCAAACAAGAAACAAAATTGTACTACAAAACTAAATAACCAAGAACCAATCTCACCCTTCTATTTTCTGTACCAAAACCCTTGATCCAAAGGCCGTGAAGACCACACTCTATCTATTTAACAAACTTTCCTCTCAAACCTTCAGGACATTCTTCACCATCTTGAAGAATCACAACAATTCACTCTCCTCATTCTTCATATTTACTCTCTTCACCCTTCCCTCTACTACACCAACTCATACTCACCATAATCCTCAACATAACTCACCTCATACTCACAGCTCCAACTCCATAGACCTTCACACTCCACTGTAAAACAACAGAATCACCAAGATCAACACAACAACTCAGACACACACACACAGAAGAGAAGAAGACGCAACATCCATCTATGTTACTTCTCTACATCTGTAACAACAATGAAAATGCAACAACTGCAACACAAATACGCAAAAACACACGAAGAAGACGAAGTTCAGAAGTATACGAAGAGGAGAAGCGGAGCAGAAACGAAGAAATGAGCAAGGAAGAGGGAACGACCAATGAGAGTGAACGACCAACTTAGTTTCTAGGGTTTACTTAATTAACTTGTTTCAGATGGGCCATTTAATCCGAACCGACCCCAACCCAATCACTTAACCCACTTTTTTTCTTGACAACACAAAAACACTTGCTGGACTAATCCCTTTGGGCCTTCGTGGCTGTTCGAACGTTAAGCCCATACTCAACTTTTTGGAACTGATTTATAATCAAACAAAAAAAGCCTCACGAGCCTTTGTTGATGAGCTTAGCGCTCATGTTCTGTTTTTTTTAAACACACCCCTTTAATTCCAGCGTGCCCCCCTTTGTGTTTCTTCTTAAATTTCTTTATTTTAGTTTGTCGATTTTATTAATTGTTTGATTTTGATTTAATTCCATTGCATGGTAAAAATGACAAAAAATATTAGAATATGTTTATTTCCTTTTGATATTAATTTTTATTTTGCTTGAAGATCACAAAAAAAAAATTAGAATTTTATTTTCTTTGATTTTGTTAGATTGTTTTGTTGATTCTTGATAACATGTTCCCTTAAGTGATTCCATGAAGTGATTAATTTCATTTTAATCATCTTGTGTTGAATTAGACTTTAGGATCAATCCATGCATGACAACTCATTAGGTTAGTTTCCCTTAAACTCAATCTTAGGACCAATTGGATGATAAATCTAGGTTAGATGTTCCCTCTCAATCTCAACTTTAAGTCCACTTTTCATGATGACAATTAGGATCAAATTCCCCTTTAGATTTTGATTTCTTTCTTTTGCTTTGCATCTACTTAAAACAAAAATTTTCATTTTCTTAATCAAATTTTAAAACACCTAGGAATAAAGATGCGAATTGCACGCCAGGAGTCTTAAGTAATGGAAAAGAATGAGAGGGTCTATTATCTATCTTTTTCTTCTTTCATTCATAGACTTTAGTGCATTTAAAATCATAAATCATTTTAAATCTAAAAGAGTAGAAATATCCAAGTGCCCCTGTATTGGGTAACATTTAGTATTATCCTCAATAAAAATACGTCAACAAATCTAAATTATTTTTCCTTAGAGACTTTTTCCTCTTTAAAACCTTTTTCAAAAAGAACATGTCAATTCCATTCTACATAATACAACAATGCGTGAGTCTCCAAAGGTTGAACAATTACATTAACTGTTAGAATGTGAACTTAACATCGTTCATAAAAAACACCCAACAAACTAACATTTTTTATAAGAACTATGGATTTCTGATTCCCTTTAGGATACGTAGACACCGAGTTGCAAAACTCATAAGAAATCAATAATAAAAATGTTTTGTTTTTCACTTTAATAACTCATTCATACACTCCCTTAGCAATTAAGCCTTTAGATATACATACCATTTGATTAGAACAAGAGTGGATCCCATTGAGTACAAGAAACGTGAGGGGTGCTAATACCTTCCCCTTGCGTAATTAACTCCCTTACTTGGATATTGGTCGTGAGACCATGTTTTTACCTTCTTTGAGGTTTTCTTGATATTTTCCTTCTTTTGGGATAAATAAAGTTCAATGGCGACTTCATTGTTTGTTTTTTCGTGGTAGAGACATCTGACGACTTCACTGAGGACATCTGAGCAAGTCAGTCCTAGCTCTTGCATATTTTATTTTTTTCGGGTGTTTGTCTTTTTGATTTAATTGCTTTATTCATTGCATTGTGTCATACCATAACTTTTCACCTAGGATCCCACATCTTTTTACTCTATTGTATAACATCAAAATATAATCTCAGTCATATTTTGCATCACTAACCTTGTGGAAATACAAAGATATGCTTTGTTTTGTTTGTTGCTTTTGCTATATAGGGATTCAAGGGATTGATAAAAGCATTGGTCCTCAGAGATTCAAGCTCCTAATTCATTTATGATGGTCAAGTAATCATCATCTTCATCACAACCTCATCACATTAAGGTTTCATCATTGGATTTATTAAGTGATTGAAGAAAATTAGGGTTTTGGCACCCTCAGATGAAAAGTCAGGAATTAGGGTTTGGTATTTGCAAATGTACATCACTCAAGAGGTATTCAATATCATCATCTCATAATCATCAAGGCGTCTCAATGTGTTAAAGGTTGCATTATGATCAGAAGAAACCATTGAAATTGGAAGAATTGAATTCATCTGGAAATGTCATCTGCTCTAAGTTAAACTTTGACTTTTGGGATTTTTAGTCAAATATGGACTTCTCAAGTTAAATTTCATGAAAATGTGATTAATATTTGAATTTGAACAATAGGAACCACAAAATTTGAGGTAACTTGCAAAAAGGGTAAAGTTGAAGATGTTGAAAATTTCACAAGTGTAAAAAAATGTGAGTTCAAGTACATGACTTTTCAAGCTTGTAACTTCTTCCTCGAGCAACCATTTTTCATGTCCAAAAGATAAAATTGAAGATATTGCTTCATACTATAACTTTGACATAGGAAGTGATTTCCCAAAAACGCGTGAATTGAAATATATGAGTTGATCAAGAAGGCATCTCAAAGTTGTTAAAATGTCCAAAGACTTAGAGAAAATTTTCTAAGTGTCTTCAGCTTAAAATATCATTTTTGTAGGAAATTTTTCTCCACGATCCCAATTGATTCAGGTCAAGTTCTCAACATGAAAGTTGTATAGGATGATCTCATCTTTCTAAAAAGTCCAAGGGCATGAATTTATCACACTTGAGCTATGAGTTTGGAAGAGATGAAGTTGACATCCCAAAACTGAATTAGAGGTCCATTTTTATGACAAGCTTTATAGCAAATCCAAAGCCTAAGCTACACAATCTTGCTTTTCAGGCCATTTATCTCCTAAATCTCACCATAATCAGATACTTACACATATCTTTCATCTATTTCACAAAGAAGTGAAGCATTAACAATTGCATGATACCATATTTGGAGTATTTTGCAAAAAGCATGTTATCCATTTGTATAAAGCTCAACTTTTGACAACAACTCTCTCCTTTTCATCTTGCAAGTTGTTTCTAAGGATCATATACAATCTTTTTGACCAGAAGCAACCTTCTAAAGCCAGAAAAGCATGGACTTTCACCCTTGATTCACTCCACCTTTCATCATGTGACATACATGCTTTTTTGTGCAATTTGAAACCAATTAAGTAAACTAGCATCTCAAATAAACTAAGAACGATTTCTGCAAGTTACATGGAGCATTTGCTTCCTTTATAAATACCTCTCAATGGCTCAGAACTAAACACACCAAAAATTTCCCAAAAACACCTTGTTGCAAGTTTTCAAACCTTAAACACCAAACTCTCATTTTTCTCGTGCATTTCTCAATCTAACCACATAAAAAACATCTATACATCATATTTAAGTTTCTATATGCATTTATTCTTGGTTGGAACATCCCCATTGCCCCATCCATCCCGTGGCCAATCACCATTGTAACTTGACTTATATGAGAAGTTTGAGATGATTTCATAGCAAATAAAAGTTGCATTGTGTTCTTGGGATATCATATAAGCTAAGGAGATCGTTTGGCACCTCTAAAAGTCACTTCAACAGGCATTAGAACTTGCTCCAATAGGTAACTTTCGTGGTACTTTGAACTTCATCATACAAGCATCATTTTAAACTTTTCTTGATATTATCCTGTGTGTTTCAATGTCACGAATAAAGCCCTATAAAAATAGGAATTGGTTGATATTATTCATCATTTAATTTAACTTTAAAGAAATCTAGGATTTTCTGGTTTTGTATGAAAGTCTTGAGCTATAGTTGATATTAATTGTAAAATGTTGAGCAACTTTGTTCTTTGAACTTTTGCGTTTGGTTGAGAAATGAGGAAGTTAGAAATCACACCATTGATTTTGTTGTTGTTGGTCTCACGAAGAAGATGAATATGGTGGGTGGCACCATTTTTCATTTTCAAATGATAGTTTATAATATATTTAATTAAAGGTGTGTAATAAACGAATGAAAGGATAGCGCATTTGGTAAGGCTTGGTGTATGTGAGGTATAAAGCATTGGTTTGAACCCTGGTGGATTCATTTCCACCCTTTGTGTTTTGTTTCTTTTCCTTTTAAAAGTTTGAACTTATTTTATAATTTATTTAACTGAAGGCGTGTTATTATTAACCACAACGCATGATCTGATGACTAAGTTTTTATGTTGTGATCACCAGGCTATGGGTTCAAGCCCCTTGGGCAGCAAAACCTTTTTTTTAGGACTTATTTGTTTTATTTTTATTTCCATTTTCTTTTGATTGTTTTTATATTCAAATTTAATTATTTTTACTTGATTTTTTGCAAAAAATAATATTTTCCCTATTTTTATTAATTCATAAACAAGTGCTTTTTATGTGCTTTTTGAGCTTGCATTGATGTTTCTTTGATTGATTCTTTGACCTAATTAATCTTGCGTGTTTATGTGGCTATGATATACTTGAATTGTGTCTTGTCTGATATTGATGACATGATTAATTTGGTTTCTACCTAGGGTTTAGCATGCTTTAATGAAATAACTTTGTGTTTGATGCTTTTAAAGCCCTAATTTGATTATAATGCTTCCCCTTTGCCTTTGATGCAAAATCTTGATAATACTTACTCGCTTCTTCATACCATGAGAATAATTTTGTTTATCTTAACATGTTTTGGTATTTCCTTCATAAACTCTTGATTGTTGAAAATATGCTTAATGCTTGTTCATCTTTAATTTAACATTTTTCTTAAATGAGTCTCTTAAAAGTCATACTACTTTGTGATCTTGCCCTTGATATTTGTGACATGTATGGTTGTCCTTTTGTATTAGTGATTGATATTTATACTTTATTGTGTTAGTACTTGTGTTAAAAATCCAAGGAAAAGGGATATTATTGTTGACTTAATAGTCAGGTGAATATGTATATCTTAGGTTCATCTTTATGTATTTACCTTTTGTAAGTCATATTGGTAATTGCTTTGCGTTTACCTTATACCTAAACCCTGATTTCAAACTTGAACCACTTTCATTCAAAAAACCTTGACTTTATGTCATTGCATTTTCAAACTTCATTTCTTTAATAAATGTATCAATACACTTAAGCATATTAATCAATTCCAAAAGACTAAAAAGATTCAACCTCATCCAAATCATTTTGCCACATTGACTTTTAAATTTAAAACTCTTTTCTCAAAAATATTATACATGAGTCATCTTTATAGTTGAGATGTAATTCTCATATCCCCATGTTAATGATTGAAGTAAATGTGATTCTTTTCACTTGAGGGAGCTAGTAGTAACTTGTTGATTTTATATCCAAGTTAGAAGCGATTCCTTCATGATGATGCAAGATCCATCTTCTCTTACTTGTGGGCTGATTAGTTGAGTATTTTTATTAAGATGATAACTTGTCTCTTCTCCTAAAATCAATTACAACAAACCCTTTTGTTATTTTTACCATGGACTACGAGGTTTTGATCTTTCATTGGTACGTAGATATAAGATTTTATGTCTTTCCAAACACAAAAAATATAATAAAATATATTTCTTACCTCATCTCCACACTCATTTAGAAAACAAATAAATTTTAACCAAAAAACTGATATTACAAAAGGTTCATATAGAATACTATAGATACATAGGGTGCTAATACTTTCCCTTTGTATAACCAACCATGTACCTTAAATCTCTTCTTTATGCTTTGCTCTTAGTTTTTAATTCTTGCATTGCATGTTTAATATAGGGTTTTGATCTTTTTCCTTTTCCTTGGAAACAACAAAGTTCGGTGGTGACTTCTTTAATTTTGTGGATCAAGTTAGTCAATAGCTTGGTCTCCCAATTTTTTACTACGACTGAAATAGCGACTTCACTGGGGACTACTATCCTCAAGAGGGTTAAACCTAACTTTTATTATTTGTTTTGTTATTATTGTTGTTTGCTTCTATTGTTTGGTATTTCCTGGTTCTGTGGGGATTTTGGTGATTTTTTGCAAGGACAAGTCCTACACTCGGACTAAGTTACACTTAAGATTAGGATGGTGGTATAATCAAAAGTTACATGACTGGAGTAATCCTAACATAAGTAGCATATGATATAACCCTGCTTAGTGGAGGCCTATTTGAGGGTGGTAATGCTAAAACAAGACAATTGTTTAAGCATTACCACTTTCAGCCTGAGAGCCCACGAAGCTGAGGACCATAGAACCCTTAACCCATCTTGGTATTTAGGATATAATGCAGTGACAATTCAAAAGTATTCTTGAATTAGTCATTACACGATACTACACTCAGACGAGTATTTCCTTCATAAACTCTTGATTGTTGAAAATGTGCTTAATGCTTGTTCATCTTAAATTTAACATTTTTCTTAAATGACTTTCTTAATATCCATGCTACTTTGTGATCTTGCCCTTAGTATTTGTGACATATGGGGTTGTCCTTTTGTATTAGTGGTTAATGTTTATACTTTGTTGTGTTAGTACTTGTGTTCAAAATCTAAGGAAAATGGATAGTATTGTTGACTTAATAGTCATGTGCATATGTATATATTAGGTTCATCTGTATGTATTTAACTTTTGTATGTCATATTGGTAATTGCTTTGTGTTTATACTTATACTTAAACCCTAATTTCAAAATTGAACCACTTTCATTAAAAAAACCATGACTTTATGTCATTTTATTTTCAAACTTCCCTTCTTTAATAAATGCTTCAATACACTTAAGCATATTAAACAATTTCAA